AAATGTCACCGAAGAGATGAAATGACAGAAGTGCGCCAGAACCTCTTCCCACCTGAAGTCTGCTTATGTCCTGCACCTGGAGCCCTGAGCCAGGGCTGGACCGACCTCTACCGACCCCGCCCGCCCTCGAGCAGTGGCCCATCCCCCACCCCACTCAAGGAGGTGATCCTGCCATCAGCACCCCCACCCCAGGACCCCATTCTCCTGTAATGCATCATCCCCAGCAGAACGCAGCCTGCAGTGATGGTGAGGGAACAAGTCCTCGCTGGAGCCCTGCCCTTCACTCACCTGCCGCCACTGCCTCATTTTCCTTCCAGCTCTCCCAGCAAACTCCTTGAAAGCTTTCTCCATGCTTCCCGTCTCCATCTCCCATCTCTATCTCCCATCTCCATCTCCTATCTCCACGCTCCCTATCTCCATCTCCCACCTCCATCACCATGCTCCCTGTCTCCATCTCCCATCACCATGCTCCCTGTCTCCATCTCCCATCTCCATCTCCCACTTCCATCTCCCATCTCCATCTCCCATCTCCATGTTCCCTGTCTCCATCTCCCATCTCCATCTCCCACCTCCATCTCCCATCTCCATCTCCCATCTCCATCTTCCATCTCCATGTTCCCTGTCTCGATCTCCCATCTCCATGCTCCCTGTCTCCATCTCCCATCTCCATGTTCCCTGTCTCCATCTCCCATCTCCATGCTCCCCGTCTCCATCTCCCATCTCCATGTTCCCCGTCTCCATCTCCCATCTCCATCTCCCACTGCCATGCTCCCCATCTCCATGCTCCCCGTCTCCATCTCCCATCTCCATGTTCCCTGTCTCCATCTCCCATCTCCATGCTTCCCATCTCCATCTCCCATCTCCATCTCCCACTGCCATGCTCCCCATCTCCATGCTCCCCGTCTCCATCTCCCATCTCCATCTCCTGTCTCCATCTCCCATCTCCATCTCCTTTCCACTGCTGCCTCCTTTGAAAACCACTGCCAAACAACAAGTAGAATAAAAAAGAGATGTAAGTGGGTGAGTTTCCTTTGGCTGCCATAACAAATGCTCACAGACGGGGTGATGACACAACAGAAATTGATTCTCTTACAGTTCTGGAAGCTACAAGCCCCAAATCAACAGGTGGCAGGGCCGTGCTCCCTCCCAGGGCTCTAGGGGAGGATACTTCCTGCCTCTTCCAGCTCTGGGGGCTCCAGGCTCCCTTGGCTTGTGGTCACATCACTTCAATCTCTGCCTCTGTCGACACATGGGCTCTTCTTCTCTTCCCCGTGTCTCTCTCCTGTGTGTCTCTTATGAAGACACTCATCCCTGGGTTTAGGGCCCACCTGGAGAATCCAGGATGATCTCCTCTCGAGATCCTTCACTTGATTACATCTGCAGAGATCCTTTCTCCAAATAAGGTCACATCCACATGTACCAGGGGTGAGGACATGGACGTATCTTTTGGGGGCCACCATTCGACATGCTGGTAGCATGCTTACCCTCAGACCTAGAGTTAGCCTGAAACTTAGTTGACAAAGGAAGTCAAAGATGAGGGACGAGGAGAAACAGATTCCTGATCGCCCCAAGATCCAGCTATGCCTGAAGCAAGACCTTGCTCTGCGTATTTTGATTGGGCACCAACAAACCTCGGGAAGAAGTGTGCCGGATCTAGTTTGTGTGGTTTCTGTCACTCGCAACCTGCACATTCCTAGCTGATGTGGGAACTGCTCCCTGGGAGTGGCTGCTGCAAATAACAACCTAACGTGTGGGGCTGGTGGGGTCTGCGTGGGGCTGGTGGCCAGTAAGCTTTCCCCAGGGCCCAGCTGGACATCAGAGATCTTTGCCACAAGGCGGAAAGTCGTTGTGCAAATTCTACTTGCGTAAACTCTGTTTGAGTGTTTTGATCCTACTGTGTTTACTGGGGAAGGAGGCTATACGAGTTTTTTCAGCTGCTGCAACAAACAGCATAGACCAGGACAGCTTAAACAACAGAGAGTTACTGTCTCCCGGTCCTGCAGGCTGGACGGCTGAGACCCAGGTGTGGGCAGGGCTGGTTCCCCCTGAGGCCTCTCTCCTTGGCGTGTAGACAGCTGTCTCCTCCCCGTGTCCTCACATGGTCGTCCCTCTGTGCGTGAGTGTGTCCTCATCTCCTCTTCTTATAAGGACCCCTGTCACATCGGATGAGGGCCCACCCCAGTGCCCTCATTTTAACTTAATCATCTCCTCAAAGGCCCTCTCTCAAAATATCGTCACATTCTGAGGTCCCGGGGGATGGGGCTTCAATATAGGAATTTTGGGGGACACAATTCAGCCCGGAGAAGAACGGGTAGGAAAAGGTCAGGATTTCAGAGGCTGCTGGGGTCTTCAAGAAGGTCCCACAAGAGCGAAACCAGCATCCTGGAAGCTGAGTTACGCGAAAATAGGAGCAATAAAGCTGTGTGGAGAGAGGTCCTTTCTGCCAGGGGTTAACAATCCAAGGGGGGTGAGAGTCAAGGACCTGAGCCCTAGGGAGCCATGAGTCCCTTACTTCAAGGCAGGGATCCTGCCAACCGACCTGGGAATGTCCCCCCAGTGCACACTGACCACTTGAGAAGCTGGGTGTTATCCCAGCTGCCATCTCCTCCCTCGGCTGTGACCGCAGGACGGGGCAGACCAGGTGGGCCATGTGGGAGAAAAGGGAATCGAGACCCAAAGGAAGATACTGATGCCGGCCCTGATATTGGTTTCCCTACATTAAACCCAGCATATGTGGGGTTACAACCAAAGCACTCATTCCCTGCTTACTCCCTGGCTTCCTGGTTCCAGAATCCACCATTCTCCATGGAGACAGACACCGCCAAGGACAAGCACCTGGATTTGTTATCTCCTCCCTGCAAACAGATACAGATTGGTGGGAAAGCTGCTGACCAGCAAGGTCACCGGCTCCCTCCTCTCTGCAAGTGTCTCAAGGCCAAACACAGGCTGGTGGGAAAGCTCCGACCAGCAAGGCCATGTGCTCCCCCTCCCCTACCTAAACTCCAGATAAAATCCTTCCTTTTAGCTTTTTGGGGAGTTTGGGATTTCAGCATTAGCGGCCCTCTCTCCTTTCTCAGTGCTGTGCAATAATAAAATTCCTACTTTCTTCCACTACACCCAGTGTCAGAGATTGGCTTGCTGCATGACAGACAAGTGAACTCACTTCAGGTTTGATATCAATACCAATTCATTAATAAGAATTAGTGAATTTTATTATTGAGCAACCACTCCCACCCCCCCAGGGACAAACTTTGTGGGGTCCAAAGCTTATCTTTTTTTTATTTATTTTTTATTTTTTCTCCCCAAAGCCCCCAAGTACATAGTTGTATATTCTTCGTTGTGGGTCCTTCTAGTTGTGGCATGTGGGATGCTGCCTCAGCGTGGTTTGATGAGCAGTGCCATATCCGCGCCCAGGATTCAAACCAACGAAACACTGGGCCGCCTGCAGCGGAGCGCGCGAACTTAACCACTCGGCCACGGGGCCAGCCCCCCAAAGCTTAACAACAAGAGGGGGTGCCCTTCAAGAAAAAGAATGCAAAATTATAAATACAAAGTCAGATACAACAATGAATATTTATTTAGAACAGGAGAAGAAATCACAGCAAGTCACAGATTTTTAAAAGCTGACAAATAATACAAAATAGAGAAAAAACATCTGTAATATGTTTTTCTAACTTTTTTGGCTGCACACTCTTTGACACACTTTTTTCATGTGTCAACAGTTTTGAATATTTTCCACAGAGAGAAATGAAAGAAACTTCAATTTTTTTTTAGCACAGTTGATCAGAATTTGTTCTATATTATTAATAGTGTAAAAATGTTTCTTAGCTTCACAACTCATTATTGATAATATCCTATACATTTTTAGGATTGCTATCAAATCTGGGAAGATCTCCACCAAGTTTTTTCATTCATGAATGATAAGATTTCAGGGCATTTGAAGTTTTCTTGTACAGAGAGTAATCTGAAATATTCTTTGAATTGATAACATTCATTAACTATTTTGTTGTCAATGTCCTTGCTGTGGTAGTGACTTAAGATTTTAAGCTGCCTTCATTGATGTCAATCAGCAGGAAATTTAAATGTTTCCCAGTGTTTTCATAAGATACATTCCACTTCATTAATTGGATCCTCAAAAATCCAAGAGCCTATGGATTTATTCTTTTCTAAAATTATCTCGTCCTCTTAATGAATTACTTTTGTTTATAATTCAGTTCTCAAATTCAAACTAATTCCTATTCACTTCAATATCTATCTTTTTTGTTTATTTGTTAGTTTGTTTGTTGAGGAAGATTAGCCCTGAGCTAACATCTGCTGCCAATCCTCCTCTTTTTGCTAAGGAAGACGGGCCCTGAGCTAACATCTGTGCCCATCTTCCTCTACTTTATATGTGGGATGCCTGCCACACCATGGCCTGACAAGTGGTGCCATGTTCGCACCCGGGATCCGAACCAGCGAACCCTGGCCCACCAAGAAGCTGAACGTGCGCACTTAACCACTGTGCCACCAGGCCGGCCCCTTAGTATTTGTCTTTATCCCTTTTGTTTCATAGTCCATTGATTTTAATCTGAACTTTCTCTTACTTCTTTCATCAACAAAATTAAAAATAACAAAAGAAGGTCCCCTTCCTAGCAACTTAAGTCAAGAGTTTGTAATTTCTCATTATTTCTTTTGAAGTGTTCCAAAATATCTTTGCAAATTTGAATAATCTCTGTTTTTGTTTGTAATGTCAATGCTGAGCCTCTTAATCTCAGGTTTGTGTGCCTGATGCTCAGTGAGCCAACCACTGAGACAGCAGCGCTTGGCAGTAGACAAAGGTTTATTCGAATTAGCCAAAATGAGGAGGCAGGAGGACAGCTTCTCTCAAATCTGCCTTAACGAAGAAGAGAGCAGGGGGTCTTTATGAGCTAAGGGGCTCGGGAGGAGGAGTTTCAGAGAAACAAAGGGGAAATCTGTGTTCCTTTCACTCCAGATAAGCCCTTGGGCAACCAGACTTCTGGGCATCAGTGGCAGCCCAGGGCTGGTTATCTGGTGACGGTAATTTCCTTGAAGGCATTCTTTCTCTTCTGCAAAACAGGCTCATAAATCCTTGTCACCCTTGAGCCACCCCTCAGACTAGACAAGAAAAATAGCAAATTGACAAGATTCACTTCTTTTCATCTGTGTCCGTGTTGGGAACGAGGTTGAAAGGTAATCTTGTTCTTACTGAATACTGACCACTGTCATGGATGCGGTCCATTGTTGACTGAAATGTGTGGTCCATGACTGCAGAGGTTTGCTACATTTTAGCATCCCTTGGAAGTGACTCCTCCACTTAAAACGCTGCCTATCTGAAGGTGGGAAGACTTTCCTGTAGAGTGGCTTCCGTCTCTGTATCTTCTCCTCCATCACCCATCTCCTTCGTGTTCTGGGCGCCACAGGGCTCCGTCACAGCTCCGCACAACCTCTGGCACTTCACCTTCGTGTCCTGATACCGGCAAATGCGTGAACCAGACTGGGGAGCAATAGTTACCTCGAAATGACCGGGAGCTGTGTAAATATACACCACTAACCCAAACTGAAGTTATCCCCGACTCGGGTTACCCCAAAATGTCCCTCTGTGGCCACGTCAATGCCACTGACGTGAAGGGGAGGGTGAGAGACAGAAGTTGGTGGGGAGAGAGACAGCAGTCGTTACCAGTGGTGGTTAAAACACGTCACTATGTGAGCTCCCCGAACATACGACCGTGTGAACGCGCTGTGGGGCCCCCCAGGGCCTTTGAGGCGGCCCGTGCTGCTGGGAGCAAGGGGGCTTCTGCATTATCGGCTTCACCCCTCTCAGCCTAGTCTCGGGTCTCAATGCCCGGCGTTTACTAACGGGGCATCCGCTGCCTGCAAAGCCCTTTCTGATGGGGCTTCTGTGCACATTAGTGGTCCTTGGCTGCAGACAACAAAAACCCACTGTGGCCAAGTTAAGTGATAAAGAGGATTAACTGGAAAGAGACCGGAGAGCTCACACGATCAACACACAGACTGGAGAACCTGGCGTCAAAACAGAACAGGTGTTGGACAGGTCTAAATTCAATGTCAGGATGCCACTGTGGGAGTGGATGACTTCCAAACGCTTCCGCCATCTTGGTTCACTCTCGCCAAGATTCAGAGTCCTGGGAGAGAGTCAGCCTGGACAGCTTAGGTCCTGGGCCAGCCCCTTAGATATTCTGGGATGGTGAGGACCTGGCAGAAGGAGACCCAGGGGACCCCTGTGGTCTCTGGACGCATGGACTCCTTGATTAACCAAGTTGTCCTGCAATGAGGGAGGGTAGCAAATCGTGGGCCCCCAGAAAAGGGGACTAGAGGCTGGGTAACACCCCTCCATCCTTCCAAAAGATCCAGTGCATAAAAATAATGACCATTTCCTGAGTCCTTGCTGTGTGCCAGATACAGCTAAACACGGCACGGGCATCTCATCAAACCCTCAGGAAACCCGTGAGAGGGGCACTGATACCGTCTCCACTTCAAAGCTACAAACGTGGAGAGTGAGACTTAGTGACTCGACTAGACCGAAAAGCTAGTGTGTGATGGAGGCAAGGTTCACCTCCCCCCACCCCGACCGTGTGATCCCGGAGTTCTTGTTCTTGTACATTTTGCAATAGTTTCTACAGAGAAAATAGAAAGAGAACTTGGTCTTTCCTTGTTGATCAGATTTGTTTTAAAATACTGAGAGGTGAGATGCATAAAACGTGCAACTTCATACTGACATTTTTTGCCGTTTGGACTCTGGCTCTGGGATTATGTCACAAAGACAGGATATCTGAGACATGGTATTTTGCACATTTCTCATCAAAAAAAAAAAAAAAGGTGTGGCATGATTAATGACGACACATGCTGCATTATCAAGCATATTCCTAGCAGACGAGATCTTCTGTCCTGACCAGGCGTCAACGAGAACTGAAGCTTCCACTTACAATCTTACGTGGCCAACGATTGAAGGAATTTTTCATAGACTAGCTTCCGGTTCTGTACATTTCAAATCTTATTTCTTCGCTGCTATCCACTACCCACACACCTCCCGTGAGGTTCATATCTCCACCTGACTCCTGGCCCTGCATTTTTCTCCATGACTCCGGGTGAGCCCGCACAGTGAACAGTGGCAACATTCCCAGAAGCCATTCCTACTCCGAGGTGGCTAGAAATAACCTAACTATACACAGAATTACGTGAACCTCATAAGTGCACCCTAGGAAGCCCCAACTTCTGGTACCACCAACTCAACTTTCCCTCCTCTGCCCAATGCAAGTGAGGGGCCCTGTGCTGGCCACTTACCCCTGAGAAGGGAGGCTGCCCTCATTGCCAACCATCTGCTTCAGATGGGCCCCTCGGTCACCGCCCAGGTTAGAGAAAGGCCATGGAGTGTGAAGTTTGTGGTCAAAAGATAAGGGTTGAATCACGGCCCATCAATTCATTAGCTGAGTGATGCTGGACAAAAACACTGGCCTCTCTGAGCCCCACTGCTATCAAGCACTATGTGGGTATCAGTGATGCTTATGAGCCAAAAGAGCACTTAGGAAGTGTTCATGGGTTGCAAGGCCAGTCCTGGTACTGAGTTCTCCATCAGACGCCTGGAGTGACTGATAGAGCCTCCTGCCCCATGGGCCTCCCTGGGAGAACGATGGGGGTCTGAGCTGAGACAGGAAAGCAGGTGACCCACAAAACGGAGGGCGCTCAGGGGGCATCTTCTCTTTCTAGGGCTGTAAGGCCCCCGAGGGGCAAGCCGACTTGGCGGGTCCCCGGCCCAGACCCATACGAGCATCTTGGTTCCCAGGACTCTCTACCTCCGGCTGCAGCACAAATCCACAGACTGGGAGATTCACTGCCACGGGGTGACATTTGATAGATTATTAATAAGGTTTCCCTTCCTTTCTGGGGATCTGGCCTTGCCCCAGCTGGCTGGAAGTCTCTCTCGTTCTGGGGGACAGTAGGAGTCGCCTCAGAAGGTGCCAAGAGAAAGAACAAGGTATCCTTCAGCTGCCGACACACGGAATAGGATGACTCCGCGAGATGCCAGCTTGGGGGCGGGGCCTCGGCCTCGAAAGGTCAGACCCCCAGCTCATTGGTGCCGGTGGAGGGCGTCTCCCTCTCCTCCAGCTCGGGCTCCTCCTGCAGCGCCGTGCGGAGCACCGCCCCCAGGGGCTCCCGCAGACCCCGGCGGCTCCTTCTGCGGCCCACCACGAAGTAGATGATGGGATTGGCGCTGCTGCTCACTGACGTGGAGAGGAGGGAGATGTGCCGATACAGGAGCACCACCTGACCCTTCAGGTGCCCCCAGGAGAGGAGGATCGGGTTGAAGGCGAAGGGCACGGCGCAGAGGAGGAACACCAGGACGGAGACCAGGATGACCACATAGAGCCGCCTGGGCCGGCGCCGGCGCTGCGGGGGGCTCCTCTGCACCCGCACGAAGAGGGTCACGCTGGACAGTGTCATCATGGGTATGAAGATCCCCAAAATGAGGCAGCGGGAGGTGGAGTCCACCATCAAGCATTGCTTTTCGTCGGGGTGCCCGGACTTGATGCAGAAGAAAGACGACACCGTGTTCATCAGGAGGGACAGCCCCCAGAGCAGGGTGCACACCGTGGTCGACAGGTGCCGGGGCCGGTGACACCTGTACCAGATGGGGAAGAGGACGGAGAGGCAGCGCTGCGTGCTGATGGCCGTGAGCAGGCTCAGGCTGCAGGTGTAGGCAAAGTACTCCACTCTTTGCATCACCTCGTAGGCCTTCCACCACCTGGCGGCCAGCGAGGCGACTTCTAGGCTGACCGTGAAGGTCGCGCAGAGGAGGAAGAGGAGGTCGGCCACGGCCAGGTGGAGGACGTAGACGCAGAAGGGCGCCCTCTGCACGCAGAAGCTCAGCAGCCAGACCACCATGCTGTTGCCCACTATGCCGCAGGCGCAGACGACCAGGATCAGGGCGCCCAGCACCAAGTGGGCCCTGCCCAGCGCATCTGCCCCCGCGGGGTTTGGGGTCGAGGCTGGAGTCTGGCTGCTGTTCAGAGTCTGGTCCATCCTATGGAAGGAAGATGGGTCAACGTAAGAGTCTGTGTTGCTTGGACCCTGGGGACTTCCAGGTGTCCCTGAGCCCGAATTTCCTGCTTCAGAGCCAGCATCTTTTTTGCAACAGACCGTGACCAGGAGGCCTGACCCTTTCTGCACACCCTGTGGCTCCCACCCCGTCTGAATCTGCCACCAGGTCCATTATGTACACGAAGTTGTCACAGATGCCCTTTGTCGTGTTAAGAGGTTCTCTTCTATTTCGAGGTAGGTTTTTTTTTTCTTTTTTTTTTTTTGCTGAGGAAGATTCACCCTGAGCTAACATCTGTGCCAGTCTTCCTCTATTTTGTACGTGGGTGGCCCCCACAGCGTGGCTGCCACTGGGTGGTGTTAGTCCACGCCCAGGAGCCAAACTCAGACTATCGAAGCAGAGAGCACCGAACTTAACCACTAGGCCACAGGGCCAGCCCCATGAGTTTATTTTTTCAATCGCAAAGAGGTATTGACTTTTACTAAAGGCTTTTTCTATGTCTATTGATAGTATCCTTTTTTTTCTCCTATAATCTCCAAACCCTGTGATTTAATTTTTTAAGCTGGACCTCAGGTGCAAGGAGTAAATTTAACGATACCCCTCACTTTATGGCACACCACAATCGTCAGGCCGTTTAAAATCAAACAAAATCGTTTATTTAAATTTCCCTCTGCATCTCCGTCCCAGCTTCTTTTTCCCTCCCCACCCTTGCCTCTGTTCTAACTAGTTCAACCTACGTCCTTGGACACCTATCTTTCAAAACAGGTGGTTGCCCATAAGTGTTTTTAATTTACACAAATGTTGTCATTTAGAGTTCTTGCTGTTTTTGTTTTTTTTTTTTTCACTCAACCGTATGTTTTCAGGACATTGACAGGCGGCTGTGTGGAAAAGGAGCCGGTCGTGGTTTCAAATGTTATCATGTGCACCAGCCCCGTTTTACTTCTCCATTCCTTTATTCCCACAAAAACATTGTGTCCCATGTCCTCACGCCTGTCCCCGTTGGGTTTGGCTCAGGATTTTTCTGGGATGCGTTCCAGAAGTGGGATCGCTGGGTTGTAGGACACGTGCGCGCTCGGCTTCACTAAATACTGTCTGGTTACTTTCCTAAACGGCTGCCCGGGCTTCATGTCCACCAGCAGGACAGGACGTGTCCTGTTTTCCTCATTCCTTCCCCAACACTTGATACCATGCACTTTCCTAACTTTTGCCTGATAACCATAAAGGGCTATTTTGTTGATGTTTGAGCTTGCCTTTCTCTGACTCCAGTGAGCTTGGGCGTCCGTTCCCGTATCTGTCAGCCGTCGGGGGTTCCCCATCTTCGTGCTGCCTGCTCCTGGCTGTTGCCCACTTGTCTCTTGGGGGTTTCTTTCTTTTCCTTCTTGATTTGCAGGAGCTGTTTGCATCCTTGCTGGGTTTAGACGCTCCAGGCATCGTTCTCTGAGAAATCTCTTCAAGGTGGTGACTTCATCTGTTGTGAACTTGGCTGGACAGACACGCTCAATGTTGGTATAATTTTTCACCCTGAAATGTGTTGCCTGTTGGATCTTAAGTCAGTCTGTGTCCCCTGGTGAAAAAGATACCCCTTATATTTCCTCTGTGACTTTTACAGTTTTTCCCTTTCACAGTTTGCTCTTGAATCCAGCTGGCATCTATTTTTATGTGGGATTAAAGAAAGGCTACGACTTGATTTTTCCTCCATGTTATGAGCCAGTTTTCTCAGCCCTATCCGCTAGACAGTCTGCCCTTTCTCTGTCCGCTTACCAAGTTCCCGTTCACACTCGGGACTGTTTTTGAACTCTCCGTGCCGTACCCCCGGTTCGTCTGTTCCTACACACTGTCGCTTTTTAAATATACCCGGCTTTGTGTGAGCTCTGGGAACTCTTCAGCTCACGGCTACTCAGTGGTGCTTCTCTGCTTGGTTTCATCCCACGCAGAACTGAGTTCTCAGGCAAAGACTCAAGGGGAGCCCTCTGCAGACCGGAGTCCTTCCTCCGACTGGCTCAGTCCTTTCTTTCTGGCACTCCATCTCGCAAATTCCAGCCACTTAGTCTCCCTAAAGTCTGACTTCTGTGTCTTCCACTCAGGGAGACCGCCACTCTCTGCCTGGCTTTCCCCACTTCCTGTGCCATTCTCCACAAAGTACCCCCAGGTGGTGAGGCGGGGTGAACATAGGGGTCCCCTCTGCATTTCCCTTCTCTCAGCATGCACCGTCCTGGGGTACCTCTTGTCCTATATCCAAAAATAGTTCTTTCTTATGTTTTCTCCCATTTTCTGGTGGTTTACAACGGGAGGGCTGGCCCAGGACCAGTAGCTCCATCATGGCGACAGACGGAAATGCCTCTTCCTGTTGATTGTCAACGGTGTAGAGGACACTGTTGGTTTTTGTAGTTTTTATTAATCAGGCAAATATCCTGATTTATTTTATCATATCTATCCGTTTGTCGAATATTTTTATTTTCTCTGCAATTGTCCTCATTCCTCTAATTTCTTTTTCATGCCTTATTTCATAGCCCAGAACTTCTAGTACTCTCTGAACCATGCTCGGAATCAGACACACTCATCTTCTTCCTAATCTTAAAGAGAATGCGTCTAAAGCTTCTCCCTTAGGTATGACGTTTATACATTTTTGGTATTTTTTTCATCAAGGCAAGAAAGTTCCCTTTCTAGTTTTATGAGAGTTTTTATCATAAATGAATGATGAAATTTATCACATTTTTTTTTCTGCAGCTACTTAATCATTTTCTTTTTTTTCCTCTTTATTTATGTGGTGAATGCATAGGCTAGGTTTATCCTCATATTTCTAGGATAAACCATTTCTAGTTTGCTCTGTTTTTGTTTTTTTTTTCTGGGTGCTCTGATTTTCTTTAGAAAATTTTCACCCATATTCATAAGTGAGATTGGCCCATAATTTTCCACTCTTGTTCGATTCATTTTTTTATTTCAAAGCTGTAAGTTCCTACTGGCTTCACAAAATGACTTGGAGAGATTGCTTTTTTTTCTCCACCCTCTGGGACAATTTGTATCATGTGAAGATTATCTTTCTTTGAGGGTTTGGCAGAAGGTAAAACCATCTGGTCTGGTAATTTTTATGTGAGTGTTAGCGGATATGCATGGCTGTGAAAAAAAACCTACAACTCCGATTTATTTAACGTTTTAAGTCTATTTAGATTTTAAATCTCTTCTTGAGTTAGAATAGGCAATATTATTTTTCTAGAAAATTGTTCATGCTTTCTGGTTTCACCTTTATCATTATAGCACTCCACACGGTGTTCTCATAATTTTTAAAACCTCAGTTCTATCTGCCATTTTTAATTTGTGCCTTTGCTCCTTTTTTTTTTAAATCAGTTTGCCAAAGGTTTGTTCTTTGAGAACTGTTTTTTTTTGGGGGGGGGGGGTTTAAAAAATCATCTCTGTTGTTTCTTTTCTTCCTATTTCCTTAATTCGTGCTTTAATTTCTTCCACTTTCTTTGGATTTTCCTCTCATTCTTTTTTCAGCTTCTTGCGGTGAATGCTTAGGTAATTAATTGTCAAAGCTTCTTCTTTTTCTAACAGGTGTTTAGGGCTATTTCTTAGAGGCTTCATGAGCTTTGGTCCTCAGTGTCTTCATTGTTATTCATGTTTAAATATTTAAAAATTCACAACCATTTAAAATATTTTAAATTTAAAGTTTGTTTCTCTAAATTATTTAGAAGCGCATTTTACAACACAAGCATCGGCAATCTTTTTTGTTATTGATTTCTGGTATTATTGTCTTGTGGTCAGGTAACGTGGTCAATTTTTCCATTTTTGTTGAAACTCACCCTGTAGGGTAGTCGATGGCCAATTTTTGTTTTCTTTACATACTCATTTGATTAAGCTTTTAAAATCGCATCACTTATATGATCTGTATCCTGGTTAATTCTTTATCTGCTACAAATATTAACCCATTACGATTGTAGTTTTGTCATTTTCTCTTTTCTTCCCCTATTTGGAAACTTTGTGAAGTGTATACAAACCCCAGATTATTCCATTATCCTGGTCAATTGTTGCTTTTATGTAGCGGCCCTCTTTCTTCATAATCCCTTTTTTAGCCTTTAAGGCTGTTTGATCTGATGTCAGTCAAGTTTTTATTAACATTTCCTAGTTCCGCCATTAATTCCCAGCGATGGGTTGTCTCCTGCAGGGATAATGTAGTGGGGGCCCCCCCAAGGTCACAAGGTCATGGAAGTTGTGCTACCCAGACTTTTGCATTGACCTCTGTTGGGCTTTCAAAGGATTTCACAGGTGCGGGACCAGATTTTTGATGGATTTTGTGGTTTGGAGATTTGGCATCACGTGAGTCTCTGTGAATTCAGATTCTACACCCGAATGGTGCAAATCTGGGGCTGTTACTCAACGTGGTGCCCGACCCCACTCACGCACCCCTCCCGCCCCGAGTCTCAGGCATTCTGGGCAGGACATTGCTTTCTTTAAGCAGCGGGGGCCTCCCGTTCTGGCCTCCTGCAGCCTCCTCTGTTCCAGCCCCTCCTCCAGGACCACCTCCTAGCCCCTCAGCGCCTCCTCGCCCCCCGCCGCCCCGCCTCACCTCGGGCCTGGAGCCTGTACCCCATCTGATGGACCCTGGGCCGTCAGCATCCGCTCTAGGTGAAAATTCGTTTGTGGTGCCTGGAGATTTCTCTTCCCATCTTTCATCCTTCAGCCCTGTGCTCTAATTGGGTGGGGCGGGAGCAGAAGTGAATTTTTTTTCTCCCACATTTCCCTCCATCCACAGAGGGAGCGTGGCGCCATGTCACTATGGTCAGGCTCCCTGTCCGCTATAGTCAGAAGTCCCTCCTTTAGGTGGAACACAAGTTTAAATAATATTTATCAAACTTACACTATGTGCCAGATATGTAGTGGTACATATAGAGAACACACACACATATAAAATAGCGTGTATACGTATATATGCAGACACACATATGCGTACACAGAGCACACACAGCACAGACACATACGTGTACACATAGTACGTATACTTATATAATAGCATGTATGCATATACAGGCTCGAAGACATATATACATACACAGAGCACACATTATATATAAACCATGCACACATACGTGTGCACACATAGCACGTGTGCATACACACACAACACGCACATAAGATGTGTATATGTGAACACGTGCACACACAGAGCACATGTACACCAATGATCATGACAGACAGAGCCCATCCTCACAGAACTCACAGTCCAGGGCAGGAAACACACAGTTAGACACGATTGCCCCCTACTGCTTTGGGGGTTAGTAATTACTAAGAGGGGGGATTCGGGGGGGGGGGCTGGAGGTACTGAGGTCAGAGGGCAACTGGGAGATGCCAGGTGAAGGGGCCTCCAGGACCGATTGGGGCTCCCCCCGTGGGCTCGGACTGCGCTCCCCCAGCTCCTTCCCAGCCACCGGGCCCCCTCCCCCACTGCTGTCCCCCATCACTCCCCCTCCGTCTCTGTCCACTGCAGGGCCCTGAGAACTGGAGTCCCCTCGGCCACCACACTGAGTGAGGAGGGTTTGGGCACCACCCCAGGAGGGGAGGATGTGGGCCTGCACCTGCTGAGCGGGGGCGGGGGGACGCACACTGCTGTCCCACAGTCCTGGTGATGCTGGGCCCCCCAGGCCAACGCCCCCCCACCTCCCCGCACACATCCGGCCCAGCCTCTCCCTGCCTGCTCTGGGTCGGGGGTCCAGGGACCTGGACGTCTACCTAACAGCCATCAGGTATCCACCCCGGAAACACTGACTGAGGGCAGACCGGGTCGGTTCCGCTCCAGGTCCCAGGGGGCGGATGGGGACAAGAAGACGGACACTTGCTGCCTTCCTGGAAATGACGTTCTGAGGGAGGATGCTCCATAAGCAAGAAGGATGCAGCTTCGGATGTGATAACTTACAGAGACGGTGACAGCTGTTCCATAGAAGCTTTTCGAGAAAACTCTCACAGAGTTCTATATAACAGAGCAGGACAAAGGGATACAGTACCAAGCGGTGGGAGGGGCTGGTATGATAGGTGGGGTGGTCCCAGAAGAGCCCTCCAAGGGGGCGGCACTCAGCAGCAGAGACCCCCACATGTGCCAAGGAGGCAGCTGGGGAGTCAGGATTGCGGGTGACCTTTGGAAGGAGTTGGCTGTAAGGGGTGGCTGGGGAAGGCAGGGACATGAGATGTGGAGGCAGCGGTTTCATCTGTGTCTTAGGAAGGAGATTCCTGCGTGCTCGCGCGCGCGGGTGGGAGCGATTCAGCAGAGAGGGAAGAACAGATGATGCAGGAGGGAGGCCCCAGCTGCAGGAGGTGAGAGGCGAGGGGATGGGCACGGCCGAGGGGTTGGCCCCGCTGGGAGTTGGGGCACCACCCAGCAGAGAAGGGGAGACTCCGGCCGTGGGCGCGGGATCCAAGGTGGGAGCATGACTCTGCTCTGTTTTAGGCATCCTCTTTTTCAGCGAAAATAGAAGGGAGGTCAAATATGGGGATTGAGGAAAGAAAAGAGGGATTTGGGGAGTTGGAAGAGAGACGGGTCCTCATCCCGGCGGCCCTGAGCTGAACTGTGTCGTCCTCAGGCTCCTCTTTTGAAGCCCTAACCCCCATGCGACTGTATTTGGAGATGGGGCCTACAAGGAGGTAATTAAGGTAAATGAGGTCATAAGGGTGGGGCCCCGCTCCAATAGGATTAGTGTCCTTTCAGGAACAGACCCCAGAGGGCGCTTGCTCTCCCCCGCCATGTGAGGACACAGTGAGAAGGCGCCGTCTGCAAGTCTGCAAGCCAAGAAGAAGGCTTCACCGGGAACCCAATCAGCCAGCACCTTGGTCTCAAGACTTCCAGCCTCCAGAAATAGGAGAAAATAAGTGTCTGCTGTTTAAACCGCCCTGAATCAGATGCTGGCACACAGTGGGTGCTCAATAGGTGTGGAGGGGCCCCTAGAAGAAGTGCTAAGCTGGGTACTCCCCAGATGCCACAGTCCTCCTTCCGTCTGCTCGGTCTTCCCACGCTAGTTCAGTTGGCTGTCAGCTGGACCACGAGCCCCACAGGCCAGCCTGCGTCTGCCTCCGCCCCGTGCTGGAGTCACGCCCTCCTGGTCCCGCGCACAGTGCCTGCCTCTAGGGGATGCTCAGTCCTGACTTGTTGATGGCTGACGGTTTAAAATACTGACTCTGTTGAGTTAGGGCTGGTGTTCCTGTCTCCCAAGCCTTGTTTGAATTTTTGTCTCTTCCACTAAAGACTTCTGGAAATGCATTATTTCCCACTACTGTCAGGAAACCAGTCTTACTTTGAAAGACGTGAGTGGTGAAGGAGCAAGAAAGCCTCGCCTGCCCGCACCTTGGGGATCACCATTAGCATCACCCTTAACGCTGTGTTTATATCCTTGCAGGTTGTTTTCCGTGCACTTACCTGTAAATCTGTTTTTCCATCAATGAAAATATATCACCCGGTTGTTTCGTAAGCCGCCTTTTCAAAAACTAATTGTATGTCTTCTCCTTAATTGTGCTCCCTCGCCACCTGCGTGACTCACCTTTGTCCCGGCTCTGCCATCACCACTGATGGGGACTCTCCACGTGGTGATATGAACTCGTCGCTTTACATGGTGGTGAGGTCGGCTTCGTTAACCCCGTTTTATTTAGAGGACGCAGCCTGGGAGAAGTTCAGGCTCCCCGTCCTCCAGCCGCACCTGGTGGGGCTGCACAGCACCGCTTGTCGCATGGTGCTCTCCTGCCTCCACCCAGACAGGAAAAACGTGAGGCCTCTCACCTGCTCTGCGACACGGCGCTCCGTCCTTTGGAGAAGGGTGGCCGGTCCCCTCCTGGCTCTGGTCCTTGGAGGCCTTGCAGCTCCTCTTGGCCCAGGCCGCTGAGCGGCTCCCGCCCCAGTCCCTGCTTACAGGGCCGTTCTGAGCTGTCTTCCGCTGCCCCCTACACTGGCCTCAGAGGAGCCCTGTTCCCGGGACCCCTGGAGAACCTTCACCCGGCTCCTTCTGAGAAGCGGGAAGGGGAGCTTGAGGTATAAATGCTGGATGGCACCGCCCCACCCACGGGGAGGCCTGCAGAAGAGCTGGCTGGGGCTAATGGGCCTGGCCAGGCGGGGCCTCCCCGGCTCCCCGCCCAGGAGAGGGCTGGGCTGCAGGTCAATGGAGATTGGGGCTGGGGTGCAAGGAGGGTGGAGGGCCCTCCGTCTCCTATGCTATCCTGGCGATACCTGCCTTCCTGAAGGCCTTCTGGGACAGCCGAGGAGACCTCAGAGCACCAGCAGACCCCATTGCAGGCAGTTAGGGAAGGACGCTGGAGGGAAGCGGGCTCTTGGGGCCTGGGAGAGGCCATTACGTCTGCCTGTAACTTCCCACATGGAGAGATGCTCTTGCTAATGGACTAGCCCAGTGCAGATGATCGGACTGAGGGCCTCAGCTCGCTGCTGGCTGTTGGCCAGAAGCTGCCCTTGCTCTTGCCATATGGGCTCTCCAGGATGGCAGCTCATGACATGGCAGCTTGCTTCCTTAAAGCCAGCAAGAGGGAGAGTCTGCTAGAAGACAGAAGTCACAATCTCATGTAGCCTTAATCATAATCTTTGCTCCATTCGGAGGGTTGCAAGCAAGTTGCCTGGTCCAGCCCACACTCACGGGGAGATTCTGAATACCTGGAGGCGGATTGTTGGGGGCCCTCTTGGATTCTGGCTACCAGGCTGATTGGCTGACCAAGAACTTCCCAGTGCCGGTCCTTCCTGCTTCCTGTCCAGTACAGAATGGCTAGGGGACCAACACCATTGTGTGTTGTTTCTGTGTTCTGTTCTGCGTGTCTTCAGAGCTGTCATCATTTTGATGCGGGCTCGGCGAGCCGAGGAGTCGAAAGAAAGATTTCTTGGGCTCTGAAGGTCTGGCAGTAGTGCTCTTTTATTCAGAGAATAGCATGGAGTAGCATGGGGACAGGACCCATGGGCGCTGAAGAGCTGCAATGGGTTGAGGGCCGGGGTAGATTTATAAGGCACAGGTAGGTATGTGAGTTATTTCTTTACAAGACAAAGGAAGATCATGTAAAAAATGTCATTAAAATGGTGTCAGTGTAGGTGGGGTCTGGTTATCAGGTGGTCCTATGACTTTGGATAAGAATCAGATCGGATCGGGTCAGGACGTCCTGTGCTTCCTGGAGGATGATATAGATTGGTATGTAGGGCAGGACGCCTTGGGCTTTTCTCCCTGGGGCAGCCTGGATCCTCATCAATTTGGCCAAAGGGTACCAGTCCCAGAGGAAGTACCCCTGGATGTGGTGGAGAGAGATGCAAATAGCCCGCAGCTCCTGGGCTGGTGCAGGACGGGACGCAGTCCCTGGCCTTGACTTTGGATGGCTCTCTCCTGGGGTGAAGGGGAGCACGTGTGCCGCTGTGAACGATACAGCCACCGGTGTTAGGTGGGAGCACTTGAACATCACACGTGGGACCCAGCGCGTGTGTGGGTGGTGGAATGTCCGGGGAGGGACCACGCCTACATTTGCCACTCTGCCTGCCAGCATCTCCTTTTCCTGCCAGCGCACCTGGTTTTACCTTGAACTCCCCTCTTCCCAGCTCTCAGCCTGTTGCGTTTGGTGAGACAGGGCGGGGGCCTCCTCCATCCCCGGTCCCCACCTCCCCACCCAGGGGAGGGCGTGTCACTGGCGCCTGGCCAGAGAGCAGAATCCTCGGTCCTTCGGTTAGAATTATCTGGAAGAGAGTGTCTCTCTGCTGGGATTGCTGAATCCGTCAAATGTAAACTGGGAGCCGTTGGGTACCTGCCACTGAGTTTATTTACTGAGAACAAATGCAACGCAGACAAAGCAGAAATGAGAAGCAGGAAGAAAAGAGAACTTGGAGAACATGATTCGAGGCCCTGGATCCAACTATGTCTGAAATGAAAATCACTTCTGGAACGTCCCTGGTATGCAAGGAAATTCCCTTGGACACACAGATACCCCCACGCTCACCCCCCAAGCTGGACTGATCTCGGGTTTCTGTTACTTGTCACCAAGGTCCTGGCTGACACCATATACAAATGTGCCTATGAAATGAATCTGTAATCTACAGGCCGAGCTTCCTAAAGCAGAGATGAACGGTGTGGGGCGGGGTTAGGGGCTGGATGCCCTGGGGCACTAGGAAACTTCAGCTGGGAGTGATGAAAATGTTCTTTTTCGGGGGAGGGAAACGCTCTATATATTGATTTGGTGATGACACGGGCATACATACGTGGGTCAAAGGTCACTGAACTACACATTCAATGGGTGTATTTTATCGTATGTAAATTAGACCGCAATTAGATCAATTACCAAGATTTTTAAAAAAGTCAGCCTGGTTGGTAAGCCTCTTCCTGAGCTGCCAGGAAACTTCGCGCTGGCATTCTGAGTCACCGAAGCAGAGTTTTCCACGAGTTTTAATTCTGCGAACTGTGCCGTGTTGTTTTCTCCAAGCCTCTACGGGCTTCTTTCCAGCCCCCCCTGGCTTAAAATATAATAATTTTGCACTTGCATTCTCGGTCGTCCTGATTCGGGAAGATCTCTGTAACATGCTGCCTGGCTTCCCGGCCCGTCACCAACATGACGAAGGGCACATTTCCTTCGTCCCGGGCTTCTCCCCGTGTACCGAGAGGCTGGACCGTAAATGAAACCATCTCTCCGTCCCGCCTTCTAGATGAACCCCTTGGATCCTGGGAGGGTTCTGAACCAAGCTGTGCAGATGCAAAAAAGATCTTGGCAAAATTCTGGCATAAAATAGCAAACCCCAGTTATCTTAAAACCACAGCTGGCAGGAGATTCGGGAAAGCTGGGCCTGTGCCAGAGAGACATTCCGTCTCCTCTCACTAAGATGGAGGATGAAGATGGGGAGAGGCGCCAGCTCTGGCCGTGTGCTGTGCTCTCTGTAGAGCTCGAGTCCCTTTCCCACCCCCTCCCCCCGTCAGATGCCGACGCCTGAAACCGGGCCGTCCTGTCCTTTGGTCTCCATCCACTGTGAAATCCAGCGAGGCCCGGCTGGGGTGTCCTGTGGCCGTGATGGGCGTGTCTTCTCTACTCCATGCATCTCCCTGAACCCCAACACCCAGTGCTTTGCTGGTGGGAAACACAAAGGTGGGAGGCCCGAGCTTCCAGGGGAACAGGACCGCCACTGTGCTGGAGCCTGTGGGTGGTGACTAGGGGCTCTCACCAGCGCTGTCCACCCAGCGGGACTGAGCTTGGACGAGGAGCTCCATCGGTGCCCCGGCAGCAGGCGCTCTCAGGCTGTGCCGCGGAGCCCTGCTGTGAAGACTCAACGAGATCTGGACATGGAGCTCTTTGCCCAGGGCCCACTGTACACAGTCGGTGCTCAATAATGGCAGTCACTGCCCCAACCACTGGCGCTTGGGATAGGCTGTTCCCGTGAATGTCCCTCCTTCACTGGCCACCCTCTCCCTTCCTGCCACCTAGTCCCTGATGCCTAACTGTAGTACAAGAGAAAACTGAGGCACAGCGGGACCAAGGACCCATGGCTAGTAGGTGGTGGCCCCCACCCCCGTCCTGTCACCCCTCACCCCACCCTGTACATCCTGTGGTGGCAGCAAGTCCTGGGCAGGGAGACAGCACTCCTTCTAGCTCCCTAGAACCTCCTTAGGCGGAACGGCCATACCCGCTCCCTGAATCTTAATTCTGCTCTTCTCTTGACCAGCAGCTGTCGGGGACACGGCCAGACCCCTGGCTCCAGACAGTGTCAGGGTGACAATCTGGGCTGCTCGGATGTCCTGCGCTTCCTGCCTTTACCAGACAGACCCCCAGAAAGAAGGAGGCTTGGGTGGGGCGCTGGGGGCCCAGCTGTGCCTCCTGGTGGGTCGGGGCAGGGGATAACCCCGCCCTGGCCCTCTTTAATAATTAAATACCAGGGAGGGAAGAGAAGATGCTGGAGGGCCAGCTGCTTCTGCTCCTGCCATCCTCTGTGCCATCTCCCTCCGTTAGCTCAGAGTGAGGTGGTCCAGCGCGCGGACAGGAGGTGCGGGAATCCTCCCGGGGCTGTGGGATGGGGCCGGGAAAGGAAGGCTGCTCCCTAGCAAAACCGTAGTGATAGTGCAGGAGAAGGGTTGAGAGGCGGGGAGAAACCCGAACCTAGCGCTCACCCCCCACCCTCCCAGGCCCCGCGCCCGCTAAAGGCAGATGCATGTTCATCTATGGGCCCAGCATCTTCCCTGACCTCCAGGCCCTGGCGGTGGGGGAGGGCTGCCCGTCTGCCCGCCGGGCCTGGGTCTGAGCCGCGGCAGCTGGACCCAGGCGGGGGGGGGCCCTTCAAGCTCCTGGGAGGCAGCTCCCCACAAGGGGCTCAGGGCTGGAGGCCTGGGGTGGGGGCTCCTGAGGAAGGGATGAACTCCCAGGACTGCGATTCACCGGGCCGTGAGGAGCCAGGCCCCCAGACGGCCGCCTTGGCCACCTTCAGGCCTGGGAGGCATTTCTGCCTGTGTGGAGGCTGTGTTCTTCCTGGTAGAAACTTCGAGGTGGATGGGTCCTGACCCCGCTCCCTCACATGTGTCCTCAGCACCCCACCTGGCTTCTCAGAGTCCCCAGAAGTGTCAGATGGGTGGCCTCCAACTCTGCTCCTCTGAGGTTCTCTGACTGGTGTGGGGAGGGCAGGCAAGGATGGGGAGGGGGCAGCCCCCGTGCTGGGAGGGGAGTGGGTGGGACCCCGACCTCCATCACCTGAAGCTCCTGGAAACTCCGCCTCCGGACCACATGGGGTCCCCTCTCTGCAGAGCCGTGGCCTTGCTGGGAGGAGTGGCTGGGACTGTTAGAAAGGAGACCTCTGGTGCAGTGGCCGCAGGGGTGGCCAGGAGGGATGAGTTGGGCTGTCTGGGGGCCAGTCACCAAGGAAATGCCCTTGGGGGTCCATCCACCAGAGGCTGGCGCTGCAGCCCCTGCTCTGGGGCCCCCAGGGTGAGACAGTGTGGGCCCAGGGTCTGCAGCAGAATGCCGGCCCTGGCGGTGCTGTGCCCTCGATGGACAGTTCCCGCCATCAGCCATGCCTCCTGGCCGGAGCTCGGAGAGCCGCCCTCCGCCCCTCTCCTGGCTCTGTGCAGGGGAGGGCCCTGCTCCTGACCTGGGCCCCCAGCCTCTGCCCTGCTCTCTTCTCGGCCCCAGGCAGTGAGCAGGTCCCAGGCTGGACAGCAGGAGCCCAAGGTGGGCCTTTCCAGGGGCTGACTGATGGGAGCGGGGGTGCAGTCAGGTAGCCTCCAGCCCAGCCCTGCTGGAGGCCGTCTCTCTCCAGGCAGGCTCCTTGGAGGCGGGCTCCAGCCAACTGTGGGAAGCAGGGAGGTGCCGGGCGCAGGGAGGCCAGCCCTGCCTCCTGAGAGGTCGGGGGAGAGGGGAGCAGTAAGAGATGATGCAGCTGCCCGCCCCGGGGGGCTCTGTGTGGACACACTGCGCACCTACGTGCAGGGACCATGTTAGCGGCACAGGCCTGGCATGCAGTGAGGTGGGGGGTGGGGGCGGGAACCCAGGTTCCCAGGGGAGCAGGGGCTGCGGTGGGTGAGCAAGGGTGGCACTGGCGTGAGCCGGCACAGAACAATGTGGCTGACCAAAGCTCCCTCTGCCCGAGGAGTGGACACTCTACCAGGAGAGGAAGCACCCCGAGGTGTAGACAGACAGCAGGAGAGAGGCGCAGGAGCTGGGTGCTGAGCAGGGTGACGGGGTGCGGCAGGAAAGGCTCCCTCGGAGTCTCCCATTGCCCCAGGGCGTCCTCACGGTGGGAACAGACCCCGGACAGGACACAGGGCAGAGGCTTCTTCAGTGCAAGATATAAAACGTTTATTGATACACATTTATGGTCTCTCATCAAACTTGCTCCGGCTACGCGGGGCCGCGGGGCTTGCAGGTGGGCTGGGGGGCCAGGGAGAGCCAGTGCCCACTTTCGGGTGGGGGTTGGAGCCTGGAGCCCTGAGGACCGGGTGGACAGCAGCTCGGACACACCGTGCACTCCGGAGGCTGCTGGAGCTGGCGGGCATGGAGTCCGAAAAGAGAGTGACCCACCCCAGCTGGCCGAAGGTCCCTTCCGTCTCCAGCCACTCGCCATGACCAAGACTGTCCCAGGAAAGTCAGCAGAGGATTCATCTGGGGGCTGGGGCGGGACATCATTGGCAGAAAGGCGGAGCCCCAGGGCGGGTCGCCAGTACCCTCTCCCAGAAAGCACCATTCCCTCGGGTCTGCTCGCTCATGTTGCCTTGAGAGGATGCAATGGGAAGAGCAAGTGCCCCAGTGGCGGGGACAAAGCTGCTGGCTGGATGGCGATGGTGCCAGCTGTGTCATTTCCAAGGAGGGCTGACCACAGGGGCAGGAGTCGGACGGGGCTGCGTGACCCCTGCTCTCTGCCTCACCAGCCTGCAGGCCACCACCTGGCCCACTGCCTGGGACAATTTCTGTATAATGGGTCACTGAAGGAGGAGTATGGCTGGGAGAGCCCAGCGGGGCCATGGGCTCTGTTTGCAGGTGGTTGCTCGGTCCCTTGGCCACCCCAGAGCCTCGCCCAGGGAGAAGGAGGCAGGAGTGTGGGAAGCAGACTTTTCTCCTTGCCCTTGGGCACCAAGGCGGCTGCCCAGCTCCTGTCCTGCGGGAAAGGGTCTCTGGAGGCCACAGGCTGCTCCTGGATTCTGCCTCCTCTCCAGGTGCTGGGCTCTCAGGAGGCGTTCCCGGAGGGACACTGCATCTCCATGGTGACCGTGTTGGGCGTGCCACCCCCGGCCTCCGCCAGCTCGGCGCCGTCTCGCAGGGCCCGCTGGAAGACCACCCTTAGAGGCTCCCACAGCCTCTGTGACTTGTCTCTCCCGGCCAGGAAGTAGACGACGGGCTTGGAGCCGCTGTTGATGCAGATGCACAGGTCGGTGACGTACTCGGGGAAGGGGGCCGGGATCTGGAAGACCCAGAAGAGGAACCAGTCGATCCCCAAGTAGATGGAGGACACGAGGAAAATGGAGACCATGGCCAGGATGACGTGGTTGAGCTTGGCGGAGCGCTGGCGCCGCCGGGCCCGGCATTCCACGTGCAGGATGAGCGCCAGGCAGGGCAGCACCATCAGCGGGCAGAACACCAGGAAAAGCAGGATGCCCAGGAAGGCGTCCATGTGCCTGCAGGCCGCCCCAGAGGCCTGGCGGCCCAGGAACACACAGAAGTAGTTGTGGATGCTGGTGACCAGGAGCGAGAGGATCCAGAGCAGGGTGCACACTACAGCCGACAGGCGCTTGGGCCGCCGGCGCCAGTACCAGGCGGGGAAGATGACCGACAGGCAGCGCTCCGAGCTGATGGCCGGCAGGAGGCTCACGCCGGCGAGAAACATGCAGAGCCCCAGGATCCTGGACACGGCGCGGATGTAGTCGGCAAACGCACCCAGGAAGCCGCCTGTGTTCAGGATGGAGAACACGGCCTTGCTAAAGAGATAGCCCACGTCGGCGCTGGCCAAGTGCAGGAAGTAGGTGGAGAAGGGGCTCCTCTTGATGGAGAAGCCGAAGAACCAGAGGACCAGCCCGTTGCCCACCAGGCCGCACAGACACAGGAGCAGGAAGATGTAGTTCATGACAGCCGGTGGGGGCAGCATGGTGATCTGCTCGATGGTCAGGAAGCCGCGGCTGTAGAGTTCTGGGGCCTCGCTCACACCGGGACACATCTGCGTAGGTGCACAGGGAAGACCCCGGTGAGGCCAGCTGGGCCCCACCCCCAAACCCACACCTGCTTCCAGGTGTGTGCTGGGCCTGGTTACAGACCCGTGGAGCCCCTGGCTCTGGAGCAGGACAGCCCTGATTGCACACCGTGATGTCACTCTGTGTCCCAGAGAGTGGAGCTAGCGGCCTGCAGGAGTGAAAATAATCAGGCCCTAATTCGGGCGCCGGCCTGCCCACCTGCCAGAAGGGAAGTGGTCCAAAAATGTCTGTGTCATGCAAGATAAAGAAGAACTGAAGAACCTTTCCAGATGGAAAGAGACGCACGCCCAGGAGACGCAGGGCTGCCATCCTAGCTTTGATGGTGGACCTAACCATTGCTCTAGAGGCTATTATTGGCACAACCGGGGAAATGTGAATATCAACTAGGTGGGGATGGTGGCATTGCGTCAATGTCACATTCTACGAACAGGAAAACGCACTGTGGCCATGTGCAGGAATGTCCTCGTTCTTAGAGAATACAGTCTCTTTGGGACAAAGGGACTTGGTGTCTGCAATTTACTTTTAAATAGTTCTGGGAAAGAAAGTCTAGCTACCAAGAGATCCATAGAGAGAAAGCACATGTGGCAAAAGGATAATATGAATGAATCGGGGAAGCAAGTATGGGGCATGCTGTGCTATTCTCGCAGATTTTCTGTATACTTGTGATTTTTCACACTAAAACATGAAAATATTTATTAAAAACAATAAAATCACTTGTAAGTTACAAAAAAAAAAACCCAAACCCAAACAAAACCCAAAAAGTGGACCCTGGCCCCAGCCGGAGCAGGACCCTGTCCCAGAGTGGGATCAAAGAGAGACCCTGGGAACCGGAGGCAGCCTCCTGCTGGGCCAGGGTGACCCGTGGGTTTCTGAATGGTGAGGGAACTGGATCTGGCCTGGGGGGTCCCTGGGGAGGGGAACACAGTTAAGTTAGTGGCTATTTTTCACGCCATAGGAAGCACTTCAGTATTTGAACGACTGGCCTGGCTGTTATGGTGTGTCCTGCTGAATGTCACTCTTGCCTGCCACGTCTGGTTTGGCACCTGTATGCATGAAGGTGGGCCAGGGACAAGACTGGCGGGGGTGTGGGGGGGGCGGGGCGCAAACCAGAGGCACCGGCCCTGAGCAAAGCAGGCACTGGGGGGCCAGTCGGGCCGAGCCGTTGAGCATCCTGACCCCCTTTCCCAGAGAAGCCAGAACTGCAGATGGTAATGTGAACTACCCTGATCTTTAAATGTTCACATTTAAAAAAACACTGCGTGGGCCAAACACAACACCACACAAGCTGGATTCGGTTCTCAGGCTGTCCCTTTTGACCTTGAGTTCCAAGCAGTCAAGGCCGCCCAGAGCACTCACGTCCCTTCCCACACCCTGGCAGACATCAATAATCCATCCCAGCACTCCATCCCTCAGAGCCTGAACCGGGTCCTGGCCCTCCCCCGCCAATGCGAGTATCAGTTCCCACGGCTCACGACTCTCCCAGAAGGTTCTTGAGACAGGACAATTCTGCCACCTTCCAGATGGCCCCAAGCTCGGGCAGAAAGCTGGGGCCTGAAAAGCTAGGCCTGACCCCCACGCTCTTCCCCTAATCAGGGGAGGGACCTACTGGCCTGGCTCGGGTCAAGGGGACTCTGCAAGCAGAGACCGAAGGATGTTGGCACAACTTTGGGGAGACTCTGTGACGTCAGAGCAAGCACTTTAAGCGGGTGAGACACACAGCCATCAACTTCCAACTACATTTATTGGCTTGGCATCTCTGTCTGTCTGTTGACCCCCAGCCTTTCCTGTTGGTGGCTTGACCACTCCAGGCCACAGAGTAGGCTCCTGTCAGCTGGGGAGCCAGACCCAGACACTCCTAAGACGGGAGGGAACTGGGCCACAGGGCCTGGATCCGACAGATCAAATCGTTCGCTGCCTCTGCAGCCTGGAAAAAAGTCTGCAATCGCCTCCTCAGAGTCAGAGCGGGAGGGCTGGGTGAGTCACTGGGCGTGTAGCCGCCATCACCAGCCACATACCGCCTTGTAAAATGCCTGCTCTGGAGCCTGCACCCCCGCCCTGGGTGCTGTCTTTTCTCTGGGGATTCCTGGAGACCCCCACCCCCCAGCCAGTCCCATCTCTGCCTCCTGTGGCTGCCACTCTGCAGTGGTCACCATGGGGAGCAGGAAAGGCCCACAGGCACCATGGGGAAGTGCCGTGGACGGGATTTCAGGGCCCTGAGCAGGAGTGCCTGCTCTGCCCCCACGTTTGGGCTCACCCCAGTGCAGTTAATATGCTGGTGTCAGCCTCAGTTTCCCCAAATGTGGAAGAGGTCGCACTAGGTAAACTCGATGGGTCCTTCCAACTTGAGAGTGTTTTGCGTAGGATTCAGAAGGGAATTCCAGTTTCCAAAGGCCTCAGAGAAGTAGGTGGCCAGTGGGGGCAGGTAGGGAGGGTGGGTCAGCCTGCTGGGCCGTCAGAGTCAGCCACAGCGGCTGGTGCCTGGAGACCGGAGGTGACCTGTGACTGGTGGACTCTGGCCTTGGGCAACACTAGCGGGATGGCCCAGGGCGGGCAACACTCTGGGGAGCAAGTGACATTGGGGCCACCTTGCAGCCTCCCTCTGGGGGACCTCCTGGCAGGGCCTGGCCGTGGGAAGTAGCTGACCGCTCCATCTGGGAGGGAAGAGATGGAGCGAGGCCTCCCAAGGCTGGTAACAGACACCCCCAAGGTCTGCACCGGAGACTTGAGGGTGGCCAGTCCCCCGTGCTTGCTTCAGTGACGAGGACATTGGGGACCTGAGGGACCTGGTAAGCGGTGCCTGGCCACACAGCCCAGAGGGGCTCTGCTGCCCGCCCGTCAGTCCCGAGTGATAGCACGGAGCCTGGGTGACAGAGAGGGTGTCTGCGTGTGTGAGACGCTGGGCTGGGTCTGCCCCCACCCACCACACCCACGGGGCACCCAGCGCCGGGAGCTGCCCAGCAGCACCTGCCTTGTTCCTGTTGCTGGGATGGGGCTCCCAGGAGCAGTTTCCCGCCATCTCCAGGGCTGGTGAGTCCAGACTCCTCACGGCTCTGTGTGCAGCTCACCGGACCTGGCAAAGGCGGAAAGGTCGCATCAGGGCAGCAGTGTTCTCCGTCCCCTCCCAGACCCCTGTCCCCAGGTCCCTGGGGGTGTCACCTTAGAGGAAAGGCTGACAAGCAATCACCTGGCTCCCTCACAGGCGGGTGGTGTGGGAGGCACAGGGACTGTCCTGCAGAGTCCAGGGCAGAGAGCACTGCCCCCTTGGGCCGGGGCTCCTCATGCGCACCCCTGCTGATGCTGGATGCCGACTGCAGCTCACTGGGGAAGAAGCCCCTCCCCTTCCCTGATTCGCTGGGTCTGGGAGATTTCTGGAGCCACAGGGCTTCCAGAGAGAGGCATTTAATGAGCCACACACATTTCCTGGGCTCTTCCTTTGTGCTCGGCCCCAGGGTGAGACAGGGGTTCTGGGCGGTCAGTCCCACAAGGCAGGAAGCCTTCCTGGAAGAGGAGGGCTTTGGCTGGGCCTTGTGTTTGTAACATGCTAAGGTGTCTGGTCTTTCCCCTACAGGTGACTGGAAGGCAGGACAGTCGTCACCAGCATCACTGTCCTCACCAGCTGGGATCTGGGCCCTGTGCCAGCGGCCTACACCCAGCATCCCGGTTTGGACCTCAGTACCAGCTGTGAGTCAGGTTTCATCAAGCCCCTAGGATGGGGGCACCAGGCTCAGGGAGGTGAGGCCCCCCCCCCACCCCCCCAGCGGCACGGCCATAACCACGGCACACGCTGCAATTTGGGAGGTTGGTGTATCTTCAGGACTAGAGAGCTGGGGAAGAAGGAACTGCTGGAGGGGGTGAGCCAGGAGGCCGCTGGGGTTCCCCGGGCTCCAGGCTGGAGCTCGGGCAACTCAGCCAGGACTGCAGGTCGGGAGGCCAGGGAGGGGGACAGGCCAGAAGGGGTTGCCCCTGCAGGAGACGGGTCCACCCTGGTGGGGCAGAGCTTCCTGGTCTGCCTGCCCCTGGTCCCCTTGAACTGACTCCTGTCCCCCAACCTGGGCTCTGCCCGCCGCAGGCAAGCACCCATGCCTCTCACTGTGAAGGTGGGGAAACTGAGGCTGTGAGTGGAGAAGAGGTCTTGCGGGGCACAGCCAGGCTCCTGGCCCCTCCTGCGCCTGGAGGAGAGCTCAGCACCGCCGGGCTCACCTCCCTCGGAATTCCTTCCTGCCCCGCCCGCCCTCGCCACGCGCGCCCCCTCGATCCCCTCCAGCAGGGCGGGCCCAGGCAGGCGCGCCCGTCATTGGCTGGAATGGGTGGCCGTCCGCGCGGTGGCCCGCCCCCCTGCTTTAACCCTTCGGCCGCGGGCGGGGGAGGGCGCGCAGAAGACTCGGGGCCGACCGGCGGCGTGGCTCCCTGCGCGTCCCCGGCCCATGCCTGCGCCCCTCGGCCCTGCACCTTCCCGGCGATGGCGAGCACGCGTGCGCGCCCCGCAGGCGGGTGACGGCGTGGGGGCCTCGCACCAGTGCCCCAGGGCAGCTTCCTGCGCGGCGGGAGCTCTTGTGCCCGAGAATAAGCGAGAGAGTTCATGATTCGGGTGCTGCGTGCTTGCAGAGAGCCGGGGAGGCTGCGGTCTGCACGTGTAGCCTTCCCCCGCACCCGGCCCCGCTCAATGTTGACTCTGGTTGGGTCTGTGTCCCCCTTGCCACCGACAGGCCTCATGCTTCTCCACCTCTTGGGGCTGGCCCAAGCTTTCTCTGTGGCTGCAGCCCCAGAACTACCCACCTCACCCCATCCTTCCTGGCCCTGGGTCCACCCCACCCACACTGTTCCTGCTCTTCCCAGAGGCCCGTCCAGAGGCACACGACCGCTGGGGCTGGGCCCCAGGCTTGGCCTCCTGGGATGTCCTGCCTCTGGAGGACCTGCCCTTTCACCTCTGCCAGGCTAGATGCCCACCACCCAGGTGCCCCCCAAGGGCAGCCGGCTGGGGCCTGCCCATGATGCTGGTCTGGGGCTGGGGCTGGGCCCGTGGCTGGGCGCGACCTCACCTCTGCTGATTGATTCGATGTGCGGGTGTCCCTGTGTGTCTCTGAGCCCTTGGCCTGGCCTTGTCGACAGGCAATCTGAAAAGCTGCTGCATTCGTGCAGAGAGATCTGGAAGCCAAGTGGACCCCACATGGGCCGTGGAAAGACATGTGTGTGACACGTGTATGGGGTGTGTGAGTGTGTGCACTCCTCAGGTCAGGATCTGGCCTATGACAGAGCCAGCACTCCTGTAAAGCAGACAAAAATGCCGCCAGCTCAGCTCACTCCTGACCCTCCCTTCAAAACACAAGCCTCCCAAATGCCCCCCCACCCCCCCCACCTTGCCCCTGGCCGCCTGTCTGCCTCCTGCTGCCTGGACCTCAGGACGTTGCTCTTCTCCTGTCACCCCCACTCCACCTCGACCCAGCCCCAAACGAATTTGGGGACCTCAAGGCCATTAGGCAAGGCTGTCCTCTGTGAGGCCCACGTGGGAAATGGGAACCGTCAGACTCCGATTCTCAAGCCGCTTTCCCAGCCCCTTGCCTTGCTCTGGCCTGGCCGCCACCGGGGCCTGGCCTGAGAGTGCTGGCCTTGAGGTAGCCTGCAGCTGTCACTCCCCCAGGGCGCCGAGCCTGTGTTTCTCTCTCTAGGCTCCCTGAGAACCCTGCACACAGCTTGGGTCTAAGAGGTTTATCTGGGGCGGGGGCGGGGGGGGGGGGGGCCGGGAGCGAGACCTTCCAGAACTCTCAGGAACAATGACAGCACCTGGGAGAAGGTGGGACGCAGCAGCCCAACCTCCTGTGGCTGCCGAGGCTGGTCCCTCCGTGTCCCCCTACCCCGGGGCCGGCCCCACGGCTGCCCGAGCTCAGCGCCGATGGCGGGAGAGGAGAGCAGTGGGAACCATCTCCCCATGCTTGGGATGCTGCCCGCTGGGTGTTCCCTTCCCGCCTTTCCAGAAAGCACGCTTGGACGGCTGGAGAGGGTGGGGGAGGGACAGAGGGGCAGCCCCCACCCCCAGGAGGACAGAGCAGGAGCTGGAAGGGGAGGACTGCTTGGGGGTCAGGCACTGCCAGAATCCCAGGGCCTGCCACCCAGGAGGGGGACTTGCAAAGTCCCCCCGTGTTCCTGGGACTCCCGGAGCCTCGGGAGGGCTGCAGGAGGTCCTCTGGCGAGTGACAGCCTTGCTCTGGGGTCCCAGGACTCCCTGCTTGGGGCGGGGGGGGGCGTTTGATTTCTGGGGGCAGCTGCCAACCCCAGAGGCACCGGCCACATTCTCCTTCCCTACCTGGCCCTCGCCCTGCAACCCCGCGTCCCCGCGCGCCCTCCCCTGGGCTCGGGGCCCGCCGAGCTACCTGCAGCTGTCCGGATCCTCAGAGGCCTCCCCTCCGTAGAGGGCTCCTCCTGTGGCCGCCCACCTCCGGCCTTGACCCAAGGGGCAGCGCGCCAGCGGAGAGCTCTGCCCCGAGCCTCGGACAACGCGAGCTCCAAGTGGAGGAGAGCCCTCGCCTGCCGCCTGCCGCGGGAGGAGATGCCTTTGGAAGCAGAACCCGCCCCAAACCCAATTCCAGGCCCGGCGGGAGGGGGAGGGGAGGGAGGAGGAGGAGGGGCTGAGCCGGGATGAGGCTTCGGGAAGGAATGCCCCGCTCAGGAGCCCCCCCAGAGCCCCGCTGGGAGCTCATCTCTCCGCCTGGTGACGTCACGTTGGCCCGAGCACTGCGGCCCGAGTCCAGCTGTTAATCTCCCTTGCATCCTGCAGCTCCAGCAGGCTGCCCGAGGAGGGAGCGCCTGCCGGCCACTCGCCTGGTGCTTTCCAGCGGCTCCCACTGGCCAGTTCGGGGTGGGCACGCCCGGGGCTGGTGGGGAGCGGGTCCCACCTGGTGGTTGAGACAAACTCAGGCCTGATACAGAGAAGCCAGGGGTGAGGGCTCCACGGAAGGGGGTGCAGGTGCTTTTGAGAGGGACAATTGGCACAGGGACGATGACTCCCCCTGGGGGGCACCCCGCTGTCCCCTCCCACCCTGGAATGTGCCCAGGGCTCCCTGCGGGCTTATGGAACCAGGAATTCCCTTTCCCCAGCCCTAATAGCAATCAGATGGTGCAAGTGGAAAATCACAGTCCTCGCCTGGGCCTCGCGGGGGGGATTTGGTGGGCTGTGGGACCGGGTGTGTGCGCCACTCAAGGGGAGGATGAGTCAGCCCCCCTGCCCCCCTGCCCCGTGAGCCCCTGCAGGGTTCTGGGGCACCGAGCCAAAACCTGGGGGTGTGCAGGAGCTCCGGGAGTGGCCATGAGGATGGGGTGTGTGTGTTTGTGTGTGTGTGTGTGTAGTGGCTTCCCAGGGAGCTACAGGGAAGGGCCCTGCCCTGGCCCAACTTTCTCATGGCCCAGGGAGCCCAAGGGAATTCCCATTGGTGCTTTCCCTGCGGGAGCAAATGGCGCCCAGATTGTGGGTGCCTCTGCGGGCATCTTGGAGAGAACCCATAGAACTCGCCACACCTGCCAGGGAGCTTGGGCCTCCTGCCGTGGAGGAACCCACTGTCCTGCCCAAGTGTGAACCTCAGAGCGCAGAGGCCAGCCGTGCACGGTCCAGTTGGTCTCCTGGGCCTTTGTTTTGGGGGAGGGGGGAGGGGGAGGGCTCTTGGATGCTGAAGCTCAGGGGCCACGCCCTGAGGCTGAGAGAGAGGCTGGGCAGACAGCGGGGCGGCACGGTGACCTCCCCTCCTCCCCGGGGGCTGGGCCAGCCGGGGCGCAGCTGGGCTGCTTGTTTACGCGAGGAGGCCCGGGGAGGTGGGAGGAAGGCCGAGGCCGGGCGAGCTCCAAGTGTAATTGCATTTGGACACTTAAAAGGAATTGTGCGAAGTGGGCCACGGCTCTGGAGTCTGCTGCCTTATTTGGTCTGGAAATTTGTTTCTTTCGAAACTAATGAGAGGTGCTCGTGCATGGAAAGGGCATCCCATGCCCGGGGTTTGCAGCGTCCCATGGCCACCCAGCGCCCCTGCCCGGGGATCAGGGAGTTGGGGCTGTGGGGGGCAGGCCTGGAGGCCCTGCTCCCGCAGGGACAGTGGAGGGGCCCCTGCTGGCTGGCTGGCGCGTGGCCTCCCGAGGCTGCTTCCAATCTTGGGTGACCCTGTGCCTCGGTTTCCTCACCTGTCAGCTGGGAAGAAATAATGATTCACGGAGGAGCTGTGAGGAAGGGAGTGGATCCCGGGGAGAAAAATCCTTCGTGTGCCTCAAAACGCTGCCCCGGGCTCAGAGTGGGCCTGGCGCCAGCCGTTCATTCATTCGCTACCTCTGTTCATTCATTCGCTCCCTCTCTCCCTCCGCAAGGCTTAGGGCTCAGGCCTGAGGTGACCCGCCCAGTGCTGGCGGGCGTGGAGACAAGGTCCCTGATCCCTCACAGCCTGCCCTCGCCTTCCCACCAGCCGCCACCCCGCCATCAGGTGTCCCCCTCCACACCTCTGGACTCTCTGGTCCCGCACCCAACCCCACACCCCCTCCTGAAGATGCTGGCCGGGACCCTCCTCTGCTGGAGGTTCCTGGGGGCAGGAGGCCACTTCTGGGCAGGGCTGTCTCCTGCTCGGGCCCTTCGGTGGTCCACAGTTGCCCCTCTGCTCCCTGGATGATGGGGGGGCATGGACTGGCCTTCCTGCAGCCCCTCTGAGCCGGCAGGACAGCAGAGCCTCTGACGTGGCCCTCTCACACTGCAGGGGTCCACTGAGCCCCTGCTGGCCACAGGGCCCTGGCTCCAGCCGGAGGAACAGGACACACAAGGTCTCTGCCCTCAGGGAGCAATGTCGAGCCTGAGGGCAGACAAGAATCAGAAGACCCAAAACGTGTGTAAAATTGCACCTGACCACAAGCCGTGCAGGGCCAGGTGGGCCAGGTAGATCAGGACGCCTTCTCTGAGGAGGCGGCTATGGAAACCACGGGGAAAGTCGGGCAGGAGTGACTCAGGAGAGAAGGGGAAAGAAGGCATTCCCAGCAGAGGAAACAGCCTGTGCAAAGGCCCTGAGGCAGAAAGGTGGGCCGCACTGTGAATAAGGGGCTGGAGGAGGCTGAGGGGATGCAGAAGGGGCAGAGGATGAGGCCCCCAAGCCGGACAGCTCTGAATGGTCCCTCCAGGCCCAGGATCTCGCTGTCCTTGTCCTGTTCTCACCTCTCTGACCATTTGTCCATCTGCTCGGGGGAGAGGTGTGATGATGATAACGACAGCGACTATGGCTACCACTCAGTGTGTCTTGTGACGCAGGGCCTGCACAGACGGAGTCAGTTAATCCTCACAACCTCCCCATTTTACAGTCATCCAACACAGTCGCTGAGCGCCCACTGTGTGCCAGGCACTGTTCTGGGCCCTGGGAATCCGCTGGTGAACGAAGCAGATAAAGGTCCCTGCCGGCAGGGTGCCCAGATCCTGGAAATGAGGAAACTGAGGTCCAAGGAGTACCTCTGTGTATCTGCTGGACCCCCCCCCCCCCACCCCAACCTCAGGAGCTGAGCTGGGGACTGGGACTCCTTTGTGCCTACATCCCGGTACTGGGCGTGGAGGTGTCGAGATGCGAGGAGAGCTCCGGAAACCAGGATCTTGCCCCGGTTCTACCTCTGACAAACAGAGGGAAATTGAGCCTCAGTTCCCCCAGCTGTACCACGGAGTGGGGGTGGAGGCGGTGGCATTGGATGTCACCTCTGCTCCATGCCCCGTCGTCACCTTCCACGCCAGCTCTGGTGGAGCGGTTCTCTTCTCAGCAGGTCTACTGAGATATAGCTCACCTGCCGAACAATTCACCCCTTCGTAAAGTGTACCGTGAAACGGTTTCCATACATTCACGGAGTGGTGCAACCATTACCACAATCTAACTGTAGAGCGTTTTTGTCACACCAAGAAGAAACCCCGTACTCGTTAGCAGTCACTCCCCATTCCCTCCACCCCCAGCCCCTGGGGACCACTACTCTATTTTCTGTCTCTGTGGATTTGCCTATTCTGGAGCTTTCGTAGAAATGGAATCACATACTTTGT